AACATGAAAATGCTGAGACCCTTTATTATTGAAAAAAAATTAATAGATATAAAGTGCTTTAAGAGGCTTAATGAGAGCTCACATATAGCTGGAAAATGAATGGCAATTGGCTTGGGGAAGATTATTTTCTATATTGCCACAGTGAATAGTTATCTAATAGTATCAATTTTATATAAAATGATACAATTAGAAACCTTTACATAAACAGGTAAACAAGACTAAAAAATGTTTTCTGGACATCAATAAAAAGCTTAAGGATCTAGCATTACACATAATGAATTATTTATATAATGCATTTGCTGTTAGGATTTGGTTTACATTGCTTTTATCACTTCCTTTCAATTAAATTCTACAATTACAAAACGGAAAAGAAATCTTATTAACAGAAATGTCAGAACTGTAAATGTAAAGCTCCTAAGGCTTTACAGAAATCCTTGGAATCCATCCATCTTTTCTAATGGCATACTGTGCTTACTTAACTTTTTTTTTCTAGTTTAAGTTCATGTGCCACCATTCATTCTTCCACTTCAGCCCCCTCATACCCAACCTTGTAGAATTCATCTTGAAAATGGCAACTTTTCTTTTACTTGTCTCTTTAATAACTATTTTTCAGTAAATATCAGCAAGTTAGATAAATTGGTTATTATTTTTCTGTCTTTATAAGAAATAGTGAACCTTGGTGTTGTTTGTTGCTTCTTTTTTTTTTCCATTTTTTTTGTTCAGATAGAATGGGAGGGAGAGCAGGAGGGAGAGTGAGAGGGACAAACATCGACGTGAAAGGGACACATCGAGTGGCTGCCACCCACACGACCAACCAGGGCCGGGAACAAACTGCAAACAAGGTATGCGCCCTTAGCAGGAACCGAACCCGGGTCTCTCTGGACCGCAGGCCGACTCTCTAATCACTGAGCCAAACCTGCCAGGGGTGTTGTTGATTTTTCACTTCTTAAGTTTTTTCTTAGTCTGAATGTGTCTCTTCAGTCTTCTCTGCTCCTCAAAAAAGAATAGTCCATGAACCAGCAGCATCAGCATCAGCTTATTAGAAGTGTAAGACCTGAGGCCCTACCCCAGACCCACTGAATCAGAATCTATATTTTAACAAGATCACCAGGTGATCTACATGCGCGTTAAGGGCTGAGAAGCACTATTCTAAGGGAAATATAATTTTTTTTAAAAAGACTCCTCACCCTGGCCAGTTTGGCTCAGCAGTTAGAGCATCGGCCCATGGACTGGAGAGACCTGGGTTCTGTTCCTGCTAGGGGCATGTACCTCGGTTGTAGTTTGTTCCTGGCCCCAGTTAGAGTCGTGTGGTTGGCAACCAGTCGATGTGTCTCTCTCACATCGATGTTTCTCTCTCTCTCTCTCCCTCCCTGTCTCCCTCCCACTCTATCTGAAGATAAATAAGAGAAATGCAAAAATGTCCTCAGGATAAAAGAAATAATAAATGAAAAGGACTCCTCTCTTGGTTCCAAGAGCCTTCTGTAATGTTGGTTGACTGAGCCTCCCTTAGCCAGCAGTATAAAGGCCTGTTTCCCAGGGCAAGGTGGCGAGCATAGTTTAAGTGAGCACATATTCTTTCCCAGTCAGTGTCCCTAATCCCAAAGGATCTCGCTACATAGAATCACTTAAAGGGCTCTTTCAGATGTTGGCCTCCCTGACACTCTATACCAGACTTGCCCCAGATGATCTCCAGCCACTCATTATTCAGTGACATTTATTTAGAGCATTTGTGCAGAACATTGATGTAAGCATTTTGAGTGTATGTGCATTAGCATGTGTGAGTGAACAAGACAGGAGGAAGATTAAAGAGCAGAGGGTTTCAAAAAGGAAATGAAGGAAGCGATACCTATTTCTACAGAGCTTATAAAAGAGAAAATGTACACATTTATGAAAGTATTTTAAAAGATTTAAAAAACACAATAGTAACACGTACAAATCAGTTTACAAACTTCCCACCTAGGTAATATGGAAATGCAAAATTCATTTCATTCTTTTAACAAGTATTTATTGAGCATCATTGATGAGCTAGGCACTATGCTTGACTGAATACAACATAATCTAAGCTATACAGAATTAATCAGAGGAGTCTTTCTAAACATCCTAAAGATGATGAATGTTGACACACATTTTGAAGAAAACAGTATACCTAGAAGAAAATGGAAGACATTCAATATACAACATTTTGTGTTGAAAAAATATTATTTATTCATTCATGCATGCATCTTTCTAAAAAGATTCTTAGAAGCCACACTCATTTATTTATTGAACATTTTGAATATCTCACATATTGAACATTTATAGAATATCTATTATGAAGCAAGTTCCAGGGATTTCCCTGAGACAAATAAGCAAGTAATTGCAAATACATTAAGAAGCTATAATTAGAGTTATTTTCAAGAATACACTGGAGAAGCAAAAGAGCAAGTAGGTGACTTGAGGAAGGGGAGTCAGACATGACTTCATAAAGAAAATGACATTTGAACTGAGTCTTAAAAGCTAAGAAGTCTTTCATCAAAGACATGGATGAAGAAAGGACACACCAAGCAATGGAAGTGGCATATGTTATGGAGCTGAAGTATGAGTCATCTTGAGAAGCTACAGTACTAGAAGTTGAGAGTGACTAGAGTATAAGATATAAGGAGGACATGAACCAGAGGCCTTTACACATACTGCTCTCTATAAGTGAAGATCTTGAGATGGAGCATTTCCACTTCAAATATATCTATCTCCATCTCTCTCTGAGCATTCTCTCTCTGTATCTATCTATCTATCTATCTATCTATCTATCTATCTATCTATCTATCAGTCATCTATCTATCTATCTGTCTCTCACACACACACCTTACCTTTTGCCTACTTAGCCTTGTTTATCCTTCATATTCAAATCAAAAATCCTTTTACCAAGGTGGTTTTCCTAGACCCTCCAGTGTAGTTTTGGTACTTTCATTATGTGATCTCATAAAACCATGTTCCTTTAGAGAAGTTTTCTTAATTTGTGTTTATGTATTCATCAATATGATTATTTGATCACCAGTGGCTTTAAGTGTTTTAACCACACTCATAGGAAGACACACATTAAATACAGTGTACATTATAAGTCAGTGATACAAACACATATATAACATATATAATACATACAAATATACATATGTATACATATATAAATAAAAATAAGTTTCATGAAATAGTATTTATCCTTACTGTTTGTGATGAAATATATTTTATATTCTTTTTCATTAAAAAAAACTGTTTATAAGTTGATTTTAGAGCCCATCTCCATTTGTGATCCAGAGTTTAAAAAACATTGCAACAGACTGGCACTTATTAGGATAGAAACTATGTCTGGTTTTACTTTTTACTCTCTCCCAGCACCTAAATGACACTTGGGGCATAGGAGACACTCTCATTTGGTGAATGAGAAAAGAAATGAAAAGCTTTGAAAGGTATTAGTATTTTTAAAGAATGATTATCCCCATTTTTATCAACAAGAAAACTGAAGGCTAGAGAAAAGTTTGGTAATTTGCTGAAGGTCCTGAGGCTAATAATAGATAGAACCAGGATTCAGATTCAGCTTTGTTTTTCTCTAAAACCATGCTAATTTCCCCTGTGCAAAGACGTAAAAAGAGAAAATGTCTAGGTTGCTACTGGGAGATGGTAAGCTGGTAATATATTTAATAGAAAAATAATTAAAAATAAGTTTATTCATATTTGAGATGCAGTTAGTACAGAATTCTGAAAGCTAATTTAAATTTTCTACAGTAAGAAAAGCATTATGTGCTTTAAAATACTGCAAAAATAAGTGGGGGAATAAATGAAACAAGATTGGTAAAATGTTGGTATTATTGAAGCAATGACTTCTATGTTTGTTTAAAATTGTTCACTTCGAAAAAAATTTTAAAGTCTGGCCAGTGTGGCTCAGTGGTTGAGCATCGACCTATGCACCAAGAGGTTGCTGGTTTGATTCCTGGTCAGGGCACATGCCCAGGTTGTGGGCCCAATCCCTTGTGTGGGACATGCTGGAGGCAGCCAGTAGATGTTCTCTCTCATCAATGTTTCTCTCTCTCTCCCCCCTTCTCACTTTCTCTCTCTCTAAAATCAATAAAGGAGGGGTGGGAGTTTTTCAAAAAGAACCCATAAAAACGGCATAATAAAAATAGCATTGCAGGAAAAATTCACTAAGATTTTAAAAAGAAAAAAAAAACAAGAAACTCAAGAGTTTATTAACTGAGATAATGTCTATGTTGCATAAGATACAGCATGTTGTACAAAGAAGATACCCAATGTTAATTCTTGTCTCTCTCTACAAGGTCAACCAAAGCTATCTGTGCAAAAAGCGTGGCTCATTATAAACAGTATTGTTTATAAGCCTTTTGTAAAAACACAACATTGTAGTCACACAGAGAAATAATGAATTTCATGTTTCTTTTTTAAAATAAGGAAAATACTTTACATTACTTATCAGCATGATTGCAAATGTAATTAAAATAGTCATATAGAAAGTTTTATCTTTTCTGTGTATGTGTCCCAAACCCTTGCTGAGTGATAAATAAATAAAATATTGTATGAAGTAGTTAAATTTTTTTGTAGAAAATGGAGAAATATATAATAATATCCATGAGCATGCACACACATCACACATACATGAATAAGGTGGTATTTATTTAGGAAGATAGGCAAAAAGAACTTTCTATTTAAAAAGTACATGTGTGAAAAAAAAAGTACATGTGTGGAAATTATCTAGCAACAGGAAGACCATCTCAAGTGACACCAAAAAAGGGCACAAATTAAGAACACTTCTATTGGTATATGTGAGTTTTGGATACCAAAGATCAAACCAGAAGTAACAAAGCCATTGTCTCATCTAGGAGATCAGAAATGTATTCCACTTTCCTGAAGCCTTATCTGACCTTTTGAGTCAAATTTAGAATTCCAACTACAGGCTTTTATTCCTTGCTATAGGTCCATTCTGATGTTTGTTCTTGGTTCTGTTCATCTCACAGCTGCTGATGGCCCGGGAGATCGTTTCATCATTGGGGAATCCCAAGCTGGTGAACAGGTGAGATTCATATAGCTGACAGGCCCTAAAAATATCAGTTTCATGGATATTCAGGATCTAATTCTAATTTTCTACCATCATTGTAAGGTAAATCTTGGAGAGGGATAAGACAGGTTATCAAAGAGAATAAAGGATAGTTCCCGTGAGAAGACCCTGTTCATTCTTAACTGCAAGAACCTGCATCTATTAATATATGGCATGGTGTTGTTGGTATGTCTCACAAGCACGCCCAGAAACATTTTTCAGCCCTGTGATTGGATGATTCCTTCAATGTTCTGAATAGAACTACCTTACAGAAGTGTTTAAAAAATTGCACGGAATGCTTAGGGAACTGCAAATAGTTAGTGGTAGTCACAGCCTGGTATGCATAGGGATAGGTAGCAGATTGTTAAAGGCTTTGTGGACTTAAACTTAATTTGCTAGTTAAGACCACCAGCTGTACTAGAGAACTAGGAGCACAAGAAAAGTTGTGAAACTTCAAAGTTGCCAACTTCTTGTAAGTTCTTATAAAAGTTTGATGAGATAAAAGATCAAAAACTGTACCAAAAAATGGATGTGTGTTTTTTTCCAAATTACCTGTAATGTCCTTTATCTATAATATATGTATCATACAGACCAGCCAAATTGCTCAGTTATTGAAAGTACATACATGTGAACATTGGGTGCCATTGCTTACACTGAAATAGTGACTTTACAAAATAGTTTCTGGGTGTACCAAAATATTTGACCTTCAAATAACCTATAGTTTGATCCTATTGATTAGCGCTGGACACTTTCAAAGAAAATATTATCTAATTATACAATGCTGTCATTGGGCAAAACTCCAAAAATCCAACTCAGTACTTCCATTAAGGAAAAATCAAGATTTAGACTGTTTTTACTTTATATAAAGCATATAAGGTATATCAATAAAAATAATAAAGAACTAGTTACTAGTCTTAATATAAAGGAAGTACTTCACATATTGCTAGGGTTTTTCAGTTGATTCAATTCAATTGCGGTTTATATGTCTACTCTAAGTGGGTTATAAATGTTTTATGTATCCAGTAATATCTTTTACATTGGGTTTAATATAAGTGAGCCAGGAGTAATCTTTCAATCTACCACTTAGAATTACTAGTCTTGGAGAGGAGCCAAATTTTTTACGTAATAACCACACACAGACACTTGTATAAGTATTGGTTTAAGCCAAGAAGTAGAGAAAATTACAGGTACAACTACAATAAACCTTAAAGTATATTTACAGAATATGATGCAATGAACCCAACTAAATTAAGGCAGGGCTCCAGGCTAACACACTTCAGCATAAGACGCAACTGCTCTGAAACTCACTTGAGGGTTTACTTTTTTCCTTAGCCAAAAAAGCACTTTCATCAAAAGAAGGACCTCTTTAGGCCCGTATTAAATGTCTTTGTTCCATAGTCTCAGAAGATTGTTTTGGTATTAGCATCTCTACTAAAAAACACATATCATATCAGATCTTTAATGTTTTTCATTAAAAATCACTGTACTGCAAAAATGGTCATATACAGTGTATTAAGAGGTGTCCCAGACAATAACTGGGGTTGAAAATTAAAGAAAAAGTTTTAATATAATGGGCCCTAAAATTTTCATTTTAAATCCTATGCATTACGTTGGTTGAAAATTACATTAAAATATGACAGTGCTGAATAATGTGTTGTCTTTTATTAAAATAACGGAATAAGGGTTACATAGTTCAGTTCCAAGAATCTCTTTCTCCAATGACTGTGGGGAGAAAGCAGGGAGAATACTAGAGTTGTAAGCCACAAAGGATTGCATACTTATGTAGTTGTGATAATGAGATTATTTGTGTCCATTTATTCATTCTGGAAGTACTTACTGACTACCAACTTTGTGCCAGACACTTTCTAGGCTTTGGGGTGGTAGAGCAATTAATATGTCTGGAAAGGGGTGATTGAGAAGATTAATGCAGGGTCTATATCCAAGATATATACAGGGTTAAGAAAAACGAACAAATAAATATGAAGCACCCAGGAGCTAACAGTGAAATTTCATTACCACCTCTAGGTCTGAAGGAGCCAAGGGAAAGAATGGTAACTGGACCTGCAGAGATTCATAGCTATGAGACAGGGTCACCTGTCAGTAGTAGAGATGACATAGACTTCACCAAACTGTAGACCGTCAGGGAAAGAACAAAGAGAATACAACCCTGACTTTCCTCTCTCTCTTACCCCCTAATCTCTTTTTGGCCCTTCCCGTTGGCTTTACCTAACCAGAAGCCAGTGATGGGAACCTGGTTGAAATGGTCTATAGGGGTCAACCTTCTGGGCCACAGCACAGGATAGTATGATGATGCAGTCTGGAGAGGCAAACAGAAAATAAAACAAATTCCTGTATTTTGGGGGCTTAGATTATTATATAAATAGAATGTAATAATGCACTTAACACTGTACCTAACATAGATTGAGAATTCAACAGTGTTATCTATTAGATCTATTAGTGGTATGTTTGTAGAGGTAATATTGAAAGAAGCTTTTTAAGACTGTTCTAATAAATAAATTTCCAGTTTTATTTCAATTGTATATCCAGTGGAGAGCTATATTTCCTTAGGCATGCCCTAAAATTTTTAATCTGTTAAAAAATACACAACTCAAAATATACCATCTTAATAATTTTTAAGTATACAGTACAGTAGTATTAAATATATTTACATTGTGACCTAAGATTTTAAATAAATACTTATGAAGCAGTATATTTGGAAAGAAATTTTTTATTAAAGAGTTAATATTATCTCAGAATTTTATTTTAGGAGAAATTTGAAGCATTTTTCTCCAGTTCTGACCTAAATCATGGCCAATAACAAGTGACTTTTCTGAGGCCAAATCAAACCTAGAAATATGCTTTTCCCTATGCCAGAAGTTTGCCAGGCAGGTCCTATGGTCAGTCCTAAACCATTCATATGAGAGTTCAGACAATGAAAACCTTGTATATAATGTTTCACTCAAATCATTACAGACACTGAAATCATTTTTAAATTATTTAATTGCATTTACTAGAAAGATTTTCAAGTGCCATAATTTTTTTCTGACTTGCCTATATTTAACCAAAACATTTAGTTTTAAGTTATAACGATTCTCAAATACCAGAACTTCAGTAAATTGTTTTTCATAATTGTCATTCATAAAATCATGTTGCACAGCGTTTTTTTTGTCTTAAAGACTCTCAAATCACTTTATATATATTAAGAAAATTCACATTATTTGAATAAGAGACAATAGTGGCAAATGTAAGAGGCAGTTCTTCAAAAGGAAAACAGGGAACCAAAAAAGGCATCTAATGGTCATTACCATAAATCAAGTTAAAGCCTCTTGGTGTGACTGTACCTGTTTGTGGGTAGCTTTCATTGCATTGGCACAAATAAATAAGACGGTACGATTTTCCTTTTATGTTTTGTTTCTACAAATGTTACATCTCCTACAGGATAATGTTACTTTTCCTTTGCAGTTGTAAAGTAAATCAGCTCTTTCTTACATGTATTTCCAGCCAACTCAGACAGTAATGCCTGGACAAGTCATGCGGGTTACAACAGGTGCTCCAATCCCCTGCGGTGCTGATGCAGTAGTACAAGTAGAAGATACCGAACTTATCAGGGAGTCCGATGATGTATGTCATCACCAGGTCTTATCGTTGCATTCCTGTGGCAGTATTTTAAGTCATGCCCATTTTCTGCAATGTTTATGAGATTAACTCAGTGTTACAATGTAGTGCCTTAGGCTTGAAAATCTTTTGTTATAGGAGACATTTTTATGATCATTACTGTGATTAAAGCAGAATTTGAACCACATTTGATCCAAGAAATTTCACATGCAAATAAGGAAAGAAACTACCTCACGATAGAAGAGCAGAGGTATTAATTGTTGATTCCACTACCTTCTAGTGGAAAAATTTGTTAATAAAATGTGGAGAATTTAATAGAGAAGAATTTAACAAAGAACACTTAGGCAAGTTCTTGAATATTACACTAAGGCAAACATTTGAACCAGATGACATTCAGCTCTAGTATCTGTATTTTAGGAAAATCTGTGTCATCAGATGACAGCCTGGAAATATTAAATTGATGCCAGTTCCCCCTCTATTGCCTGAAACAAAGGATCCTGGGATCTTTTTTGGTCTAAGCAGGCCTTCATCTCACTTAAAGTACTGGCAGTTATTGAAACCAGAAGATCAGCCACTGATAAAAGAACAGTTTCAACTGAGGTCTTAATGACTATCTTACTTGTTTTGTGAAAAAGTTCAAGATAGCTTACATTTTAAAAGGTGGAGTTAAAAATAATAATATTTTCCTGCTCTGGCATATAGGGAAATTTGGCCATGCTGAGAGACAGCCACTTTTCTTAATCTTGGAATTTTTAAAATCATCTTCCCACATGTCAGGCTTATAAAATTAAACTCTCGGCATACAGATCACATCACTTGCTGTTAAAACTGCCCAGCAGATTTATTGGCATCAGGGAAGCCAGCAGAGCATTGAAATGCAGAACACATGCATCCACAGACTCTGCCAGATGACAAGACACAGTTCCAGTCTCACAATATTATTCACAGCCTATAAATGTAAAATTGATGATCACTATTAAGTTACAGAAATTTACTATTAGGCAAACTATAAGTTCTTCATTAAAATTTCTGCAGATATTTGGGAACCTTGGTATAGTATTGAACCCATGATTCACTGGAACAGAAGAGGTCGTTATCTCCTCACACATTCACTGTATCAATTAGGGTAGCCAAATATATATACAGGGTATGGCAAAAGTAGGTTTACAGTTGTGAGTACACGAAACAGACTTTATTGTTGTATTATTAGTTTTTAATTGTATTATTTTCCATACAAACACTACATATAAATAATATGTATATAAAATTGTTTTTCCTTGAGAATGCTACTTACAAAGTAAGACTCAGTATTTTAATTAGTATTTTTTTAAAGCATGAAAATATTGTATTTATTCCTTGACATCAAACCTAATTCTGCAGGAACTTGTGGTAGAAATTTATCATGTTCAAAGGGTTTAGAAAATGGCTTTTTGTTTTTCTGTATTTGTATATATTCTGTGCCTATCTGATGATGAAAGCATCTGAGTAGCTAAATTCTATTGATTAAAAATTGTTAGATTGTTCAGTTTGAAATTGCATGGCTTTCTCTTATTATAGGGCACTGAGGAACTTGAAGTACGCATTCTGGTGCAAGCTCGGCCAGGCCAAGATATTAGGTAAGTTCATAACTCATAAAATGTGTATACAACTTTTATTTCTACATGATCATGAACTCAGGAGAGCTAATGGTTAATATAAATCTACAGTTCAATTAATTACCCATTGGCTCTCAGGGTTTTTAACAAGTAGGAAAATGAATTTTCTGAACTCTACATCCCATGTCTACTCTGCCTGCATTTTCATGGAAATGGTAAAGGCAAATGAAATAATCAAAAGCGAAAATGATACCACTGTCCTACCATAAGGAGAGCATATACTTTAAATTATTTTTCTTACAATGGAATATATTTACCTGATTTTATTAATACTAATTTGCTCAAATCTCCTAGTGACAAAATTACACTTCTCCCATTTCTATGTCAGGAGACCAAGGTGAATGGACTTCTGCGGACACATAACTGAACCAAGTGGCCCAAATGGAAATTATCTCCATGACTGTAATCTCATTAATATTATTCTCAAAATTAACAAGCTATAGCCCTGGCCGGTTTGGCTCAACGGTTAGAGCGTCGGCCTGCGGTCCATAGAGACCCGGGTTCAGTTCCCGCTAAGGGCACGTACTTCGGTTGCAGTTTGTCCCTGGCCCTGGTTGGTCGTGCGGGTGGCAGCCACTCGACGTGTCCCTTCACATTGATGTTTCTCTCTCTCTCTCTCCCTCTCTCTCCTTCCCACTCTAGCTGTACAAAAAAATGGAAAAATATCCTCGGGTGAGGATAAAAAAAAAATTTTTTTTTTAATTAACAAGCTATAGACTTTTTATCATTAATGCTATGTAATTTCCTGCCTTACATCAAATAAAGTTTGTAATTGGTGTGGTACAAAGCAATTTGTAAAATAATTTCCAAATATGAAGTAACATATTCCTGTTTAGCAATAGTAGATACAAATTCTATTTGTCTTCTGTTGTGTGATTTAATATTTTTAATTTAAAAAGCATGGAGTTTTTAGAATCTCCTTATTTCATTATTCTGCTCCTGCCTCATCTCTTAACATTTTTCTCTTCATGAGTATCCTCCTTCTCTGAGTTGAGAAAATACTATTCTTACTCATTGTGCTTATGGTTCTGCTTTGACTTTCAGACCTATTGGCCATGACATTAAAAGAGGGGAATGCGTGTTGGCCAAAGGAACCCATATGGGCCCCTCAGAGATTGGTCTTCTGGCAACTGTAGGTGTCACAGAGGTTGAAGTTAATAAGTTTCCGGTGGTTGCAGTCATGTCAACAGGGAATGAGGTAAAAAAGGATTTGGGGGGAATGGGACTTTCAGATAAAAGTATTTCTGACACCTATTTGTAAATAGAACATTGTGTATTATATATATTACCACATTCCTATAACGGAAATAAAATTGGCCTCAGGATAGTTCAAGTACAGAAGATGAGAAGGAAGAACTAGAAATTACATAAATAATAATTCCTTTTATTTACTAGAATGAAATATTATGACCAATGGCCTTTCCGTACATGCAGTACATAGAAACAAAGAATGTTGACATAGCTACAGATAATCAGCGGTGCAAACTCAGTACTTAGTCTATTAGGAAAATGAATTGTGCCCACTCTGCTTCTGTGCTGTAGGCCAATTTTTGTGGGAAATAATTCAGTGAATTGGGATACCATGGCTGGTGTTCTTCCTGCTAAAATTCCATGATCTTTATCACCAGGAAGGCTTTAATAATCAGGTTTTGTTTTGTTTTTCTCTACAGATAGCATCTCTAGTGGCATGCTATTTAGAATGTGTCAAAATGTCATCCCTGATTTAGAAAGAGGAATTTGTCAATCTTTTTCAGAGAACTCTTGAAAAACTTTGTTTTTCTTAGGTTATACAAAAGTTTGATTGGAGTCTCTAAGACCGAACTAGGAATATTGAAAAATGAATCTGCTGGAATTTAAAGCCTAAGATTAGAATCAGAAACTAGTGATATTTTTTAAATTAATTCCTTTGGATCTTACTATTTATAGAAAGATTAACAGGATTTCTCTCTCTCTCTCTCTCTCTCTCTCTCTCTCTCTCTCTCTCTAGCTCTAACTTTTTTCTGAAAATAAGCCATTTGTTACCATTATTTTTAATTTCTTAGAGTCTTGGAAATTTTCAAGGATCTCTGTATTACCCTTATAGTTCTTTTGGAAAGAACAAAATAAAAGAATAGAATATTTTATTTTGTTAATAGAGAAATAAAGCAGCCTTCTAGATTTGCTTACTTCCCATTATATGTGCACTAGTCATTCCCTAAAACTAGTGATTGACCCAATCATTCTTTTCAGTTAGTTACATAGTGATGATTTTAATATCCCTAGAACCAACTGACACTATGTTTAATATCAGAAAGTAATTTATTTCAGACTTAATGAACTATTCTTATTTGTGATTTATTTATATGTTTTGTACATCTAAGCGTTCATGGGGTTTGGGAGAGTTAAATAGAATGAGCAAACTCAAAAATAACTAGTTATTAGGCAACTTTGTTTTAGCTATATTTCTTGTATTCTTCCTGATGCATTTGTAGGGCATTTGTAGGGCTGGACTAGTATTCTCAGTTATCCCCAGAGTATATTGGCAGTATTTTCTTAAAGCTATTTTTTATACTCTTTATTAAAATTATTTGCTGGTAGTAGGGAAAGGTGATGGGGAGAGAAGAGAGATGGTAATTACATTATGAAATCTAAGGAAGAATTTGTAGTCCTAGTTTCCTGCCCTCATAGACTTGATAATCCTTGGAGAGGATTTGATAGATTCTCTATAACCTCTTTTCCCTACTTTCTCTAACCTGCTGTATTACCATGGTTTTCAAATGGAATAATGCTTCTGAATTCCATAATCTCTGGTTCAACATAGCTCAACATTCCTCCTCTACTCCCTTCCAAAGTTAGCTATTATTTTATTCTCTATGATCATATAGTTTCAGTCAACAAATGTTTACTGTGTATCTCTATGAGTAGCACTATATGGAAAACGGGGGATGAAAGAGATAAATAAAGCATAGCATCTTTCCTAAAAGCTTGAAATCCTCAAATAACCAGAAAACAATAGAGAAAAAAAAATCACTCGTTTTTAGAGAGGCCAAAAGAAATTACACTTGTCTATCGATGTGGCAAGTTTATAATTTAGTAATTCATAGCACAGCTCTCCTTAACTATTAGTTCTGATTTTCCCTGATATGCATGGCTTCACATATGTCCACTTCTTGCATCCATTATGGTATATTGGTATACAATGGCCTTAGGCAGCCCAAAGAATGCCATGCAAGATGTCTGTGTATATCATATTTCAATCCTGCCCAGTATTTTGTGACTACATTAAGTTGTTCAGGGTGAGGGAATTATTTCAGAATCGAGGAGGTATAGTTATAGACTACAACTACCACAGAGTAGCCTCTGTAGATACTTGTTAATTTCAACAAACTATGTTAAAATTTTTAATACCATCCAGTATTACATAATTATAGGTAAATGTTTCCAAAGTCATGCATTTATTCAATTAATATTTTGAACAACTAATTAAATTCTGGAATGCCCACCAGGAGTTCTCTTATCTAAACATCAGATTTACAACATGTAAAAACATTGTATTGTGAACCAGTGTACTTAGATTTTGAAAAGGAAACTCAGCATCAAGCAGGACAGCATCAGGCTTTCTTCTTCAGTGGGACCAGTCCTCTTAGCAGTCCACATAGCCATCAAAGGGTATTTTCTTTGCTCTTCAAGTGACATTCAGGTGCAAGGGAACAAGAATTCTACTAGAAGAGTATGGGAGCCGCCAACTTAGAAGCTCCATGTCCTCTATAGGACAATCTTAGGCAGCTTCCAGGGTCCTCGCAAGAGAAATGCCCAGTTACAAGTGTTACTACATTCATGGAAGCCCAAAAGTATAGCTTCGTATTAAGTATTCATAGTTCATTTGTAGTTCCTTCCAGCACATATGCAGGTTATAATTTATTTTTTTATCATTTTTACCATAAATGTTGCCTAGTAACAAGCTGACATTTCATCTTTATCGTATTTCCAGGAGAACGGAGCTAGAAAGTTAACCCAAGGTCAAGTTTGTCCTTAGAGATGAAAAAAGCTTTTGTTAATCTTTTACGCTACAAATGCATTATCTGTAGAAGATTAGAAACCAATAATAAATCTGATTACAAGTCATTCTGCTTTTCATTATCACCATGCACTGGCAATTCTAAAACAATATCAATGATAAAATACTACTCTCCACTGGTGCAGACCACTCCTACCACCCCTTCCCCTTAGTATGCTGCCAAATTGATGCCAGGCACTGTTCTGACTACTGGGGATATAGCAACAAGCAACACAGACAAATTACCTGCTCTTACAAAATTTATATTCTAATGGGAGGGCAGGGTTAGGAGAGGAGTGTGCAATAAACAAATAGTGGTAAATGATAAGAAGAAAAATAAAGGGTCAGATGATAAAGAGTGGTAGTAGAAGAGATATAAGCCAGATATTATATGTTGAAATTTAACCTACTGTCCCCTAAACAGGAAGCCTGAGAACTCTATTTCCCAGACTGTCTTTCCAGCTGTGGTGCATATTAGAAGATGAAAAGAAAGTACCAGAAATATAAGCTCCTTGATCCTAACATCACTTTCTGCCAACAGCCCCTGGGGTTAATGGTGACTTCCTGCAGTTACTGATCTTTGGTAACCAACACATTTGTAACCAATTCCCTGTATTAAATCCTCCTTTCTTCCACACCCTCTCCATTTGAAATACCTAAAGTAGTTTTGGTTTTCCTGTCTAGACCTGATTGATAGAGTCTTCTATTTTATATAGGGTAATCAGGCCTCACTGATAAGGTGAAATTAAAGTGGAAATCAGAAGGCATTGAGGGCATATGTCATGTGAAGGGAATTGTGTTCCAGCAGGAACAACAAGCAGAAAAGCCTTGAGGTAAGGTGCATGCTTGCCATGTTCCTCAACAGCAAAGAGGTCAATGTGGCTGAAGTAAAGAGGGAAACGAGCAAAGTAAAAGGAGATGAGGTTGGAGAGGTAATAGAAACAAGATCATTCTAAATAGCCCATTTTGAGGAAGGAATGCATAATATGGGATCTAATATGATCTTTTTCTTTAATATAACATGTCTTGAATTTTTAAATGTTTACTCTGGCTTCTGTATGGTATGTCATATAGAAAGGAAAAGGAAAGAAGCAGGGAGACTAGTTAGAAGGATCTGCAATACTCCATGCAGAGATTTGGACCAGAGTGGTAGCAGTGGAGATAGTGAGAAGTAATCAGATCCAGGATATATTTTGAAGGTAAAGCCAATAGGATCTGTTAGTGAATTCAAAGCAGAATACAAGAGAAAGTGAGGTGTCAAGATGAACTCCAAACTTTTTGGCCTGAGAAATTCTAAGGATAGTTATCATTTACCCAGATAAGAAAGATTTAGGCAGTAGAAATCATGGATTCTATTTTAGACATTTTAAATTTGAGACACTTATTAGAAATCTTAGTAGAAATATTCAGTAGACAATTAACATATTTAGTCTGGAGCTTAGGAAAAAGAACAGCTATAAAGATACACATTTAGAAGTTATCAGCACATATATATAGTAGGGTATTTTTCTTCTTTTTTTAGTATATACATAGTATTTAAAATCATGAGACTAAATAAAGTCACCTAGGAAGTGAGTATAAATAGAAGACAGGAGATGCAAGTTTTATACTCAGGAGGCAATTGTATCTTCCTCCTCTTTATCAGCCTTTATATTTCCCAATTGTATATTCTAATTTTGACTCTTTTTAACTTATTTATTTATTAATTTTAGACAGAGAGAGGAAGGGAGAGAAAGAAACATTGATTTGTTGTTCCACTTAGTTATGCCTTCATTGGTTGATTCTTGTATGTGTCCTGACCAGAGATCGAACCCGCAACCTTGGCATATCAGGACAGTGCTCTAACCACCTGGGCTACCCAGCCAAGGCCTATCTTTTACTCTTGATGACATCATCATCTCTTTATTCATAAAATACATTCTTATCCTCTTGAAACTTTAGATAGTCTTTAGACTGGATATCAGTCAACCAGCTGCCATTATCTTCAGGAAGTCAAGATTGTATGCTTGTTATCTACTTTCCCAAAGTACTAACAATAATTATTCCTTCAGTAGATGCTGGTCTTCTAGTTTTGAAGGTACTCTTTCAGTTACCTTCAACCATATTTGATAACTCATTCATCCATTCATGTTCTCTCTCTTTCTATCTCTCTCTCTTCACAC